CTTAATCTTCAAGAGGAAGGAAACTCTAGTTTGAAATCTTCTGATGGAGATAAAAGCGAGAACTGAACTGCAATGGGTTTTCCCAGATCAACTGCTAGTTAATTTAAGCAGATTTGCCATTTCAAAAATATACATTAGAACTCAATCCTCAAGCTAGTTTAACAGATTGGTTCTGAGCAGATTGACATCTGTCTAAACAAGGTCCTCCCGGAATATACTCATTGAAAATGATGATGTAATTAATTATGCAGGTGCTGCTGAGTTTTGCTGTGAGGGGAAATATAATTTGGATATACTATTTGCAGATGTAATATTATTGTCTTGTCCATGTTCTCTTTTGATCTGCATTGACTGATCTTTTTGGAAGGAAGTATGTAGCTAATAGGTCCATACACATTAAATCATTGTCCAAGGGAGTCCTCTGCAGACTCGACCTGGACAACTGATCTTGGGGATCAGTTGTACAAAATTAGTTATTTGAGACTCATTAGTATTGTTCCCTCAAAAATGAGTATGGGTCCCTGTTGGCCAAAATAGTCATGCATGTTTATCTCACAATAGTTCTACAGAAGTTTACAATAGTTAGATCTTCTGATTTCTCGCTAATGTCTCTATGTAGCATGTAATTATATCATTAAACATGGACTACTGGATAGGGAATGTGCTGGTATATGGACCAAAGAAACCCTTTACATGGTCACCTCTGGGAGGATCAATTTGAATAGTATGACTTCACTGTATGCCCAAATGTTTGTGGTCACCTGACCATCACACCCATAATATATGACCAAAAATATGTGGATACCTCTCTAAATTATTAAGTTCAGGTGTTTCCAGTGAATGGTGCTGTAATGATACAGCAAGCAAAGACATTTTAGACAATTGGGTTGTTCCAACATTGCGGCAACAGTTTAGGGAAGGCCTTGTTCGGTTCTAGCATGACTGTCCCCTGTGTATAAAGCCAGCTTCATAAAGGCATGGTTTGAATAGTTAGTTTGGTATGGAGAAACACCAGTGACCTGAACGGAGTCCTGATCCCGACCCTACTAAGAACTATTTTTGATGAACTGGAATGCTGATTGCAAGCCAGGCCTTCTTGTCCAACATCAGTACCTGACCTCACAAATGCTCTTTTAGCTGAATGAGCAGATTTCCACAGACACACTCCAATTGTTGTGGAAACAATTAAGGCATGGTTTGACCAGTTTGGTATGGAGAAACACCCGAGTCCTGGCCCATCTCTGTTGCAACATGACTGTCCCCTGTGCCCAAAGCCAGCTTCATAAAGGCATGGTTTGACCAGTTTAGTGTGGAGAAACACCCGAGTCCTGTCCCTTCTCTGCTCCAGCATGACTGTCCCCTGTGCCCAAAGCCAGCTTCATAAAGGCATGGTTTGACCAGTTTAGTGTGGAGAAATGCCAGAGTCCTGGCCCTTCTCTGCTCCAGCATGACTGTCCCATGTGTCCAAAGCCAAATCCAAAAAAACATGATTTGACAAGCAGGAGACATGATTTGTGGGCCTGCACATAGCTCTGACCTCAACCCTGCTGTACACCTTCTTTGGAATGATTTGAAGGCCAAACGTGAGCCTAGTCTTCTCATTCAACAGCAGTAGCTGACCTCACAAATTTATTTGGCTGAATGTGCACACATTCTTACAAACACACTTTATACTCATGTGGAAAACCTTCTCAGAAGGGCAGAGGCTTGGAAAGGGGGGTTGTGGATTGGTAACTCCATGTTAGTGCCTGTGGTTTTAAATGGGGTGTCTAACAAGCTGATATAGGTGCAGGTGTTCCCAAACCTTTGGCCAGATAGTGTATATGCAGATAGTTGGATGCTTCCAATACTAGTTAACTCATCTCTAATACTAGGCCACGTCGTCTGGAAGGGAAAAGGTTCTAGAGCAGCTACACTTGGGGTGTACACCTTCATCATTTTTGGGGTTGTAAACCTTTATCAACTATATATTTTTTTTAAATAACCCATAAAAATAGTTCCAGTGGTAACAAAAAAGAACACTTTGTGTGGCTGCATGGAAGACATTTTGTAAAGGCCTACACCAGCCCAAAATGATAATGTTCTTTGTAGAGAAGCATAAAAGGTTGCATCAACTGAATTTTTCCTTTTGTAGCTCTCTGCTGTTGGTAATATGAAGTAGTTCTGTCAATTTTGCTTCTTCTAACTCTTTGGTCTGCCAGGGCGGCTCTTTTACACCACTTCTCCATCTACTTAAACAGTGCAGGAAATACATACAGGAAATTCTCATTTATCAACCATTCATGGATTGCATGGATGTCCATCTTGTGTACAGTATATAAACAAGCATTTTTTTTTTTCAACTGAATTGAACAAATACGGGAACATTGTTTTAGAATACAAAATCATTTTGGGTCATGCAAGTGTCCTCTGGTTCAAATATTTGCTTTGCTTTCTCTAGAAAAAATATCTAGCCAGTAACTTTAATAGCAGCTTTAAAATAATAATATTAAAATAAAATAAAAATTATAATAAAGCTGAAATCAGCATTATAAGAAACACGTGTTTTTGAATCACATGACCAATGGAATGTTACAAATCATATGCAATTTGCTACATATATTCAGAATATTCCAGTGGGCCATATGATTTGGAATATTCTAATGGCCATATCTATGAAAATGTATCAGATTGTCAACCTTTTACAGAGGTGGCTTTTGTATAAGTCAAGCATTTATTTATTTATTTATAAATAAGTCACAATATCTTTTTTCAAGTATTTCCATTTCAAGCGTATCCTTTTCATCTATTATATTTTTAACCAGTCGGGGCTAAGAATTTCTGTTTTTATAGCGCTTTAGTTTTACATTCCTTATTCTTTTTTCAGTTTGCATGCAGTAACATTTTAATAGAAACAATTTGCATTCTATTTAAAGAAATATGCAAATGTTATTTTTATCATTAAAATTACATAGCAGTTAAATCAACATTTGTTTCACAGTTCTAAATCATAATCTAAGCTCGAGTTTTTTTGTGTTTTTTTTCCCCCTCTCGTTAATAATTACATATATATTGTAGGCACATTAAAGATTGTATTTGTGAGCCAGGAAAACCATCAGTACACACGGAAATCACTGCAAAGCCTTTGCAGATAATTACCATATAAAACAGAGCTTCCTAATATATTTTGCATTTCTTTATTAGTAAGGGTTTTATTTAATTTTTATTGACAAAGTTTCATTTAACCTATACGTGGTTCTACTTAAGCTATGGTAATGGAATGACTTTAATATTTTAGATTCTGTGTTTATAGATCTGTATTTAGAAACAATGCAATGGGTCTGCAGATCTCAGAATTCTTCTGGAATGCTGCCCTCTAAATAATGATAAATTACTCGTGCAGCATGCCATTTGCTAATTATATCCATGATTTACTGCAGAGCACGACTTAAATCATTCATTTCAGTCTTGCGTAACAGTGCCATAAAAAAAAAAAAATTTGGTTTTTAAAAATGGTTTCCATGTGTATAATTTAAACAAATTTTAACAGCTTTTGTATTCCGTGAATATTCAAGCTTATAACTTTATTTAAATTGATGGCAGCTATTATGCCTTATGTGTTTTTGAAAGCATTTTTTTTCTTACATATTCTGCTTTTCTAGAAATGTAAGCTAAATGTATTCTCACAAATGTGTTTTCAAGAAAGAAAATGATCTTTAAATTTATAATAAACACCACATAATGTATACATCAAGCATTAAGTGTATATTTCAGTAAAAACAATGGCTGAAACACTTTATTTTATTTTGCATTTATTTAGTTAGAAAGTCAAATATAGACATTTTTGAGTGGGAGTTGTTTCGATTTGTATATATATATTTTAGGAAAGCGAACGTTATGATTTTAAAAAAAATATATAACTGAAATATTACACTAAGCGTTTGTTGGTGGTCAGAAAACAAAATATGGCCTGTTGAAAAAGAAAATATTCCCCCCGCTTATTGCAGTGAAAATTTTAATTTCCAAGTAAAAACAACTTTGAGAACCGCTAAAACATCTTTATCTGATTCTGGTATATTCATAATTTGAAACGAGCAGTAGCTGTAGGAGTTTGGGTGAGTAGTCTCTTATTATGTTCTACTTTCGTGTTGATAATAAATATTGAGTTAAGCATTGTTTATATTTTTACAGCGCAGCCATATTGTTTCGGTTTTTTCTTCGGCTTTGAGCTCACTTCATCCATCTGTTGTTTTTACAGAAGGAAAAATATCAGCCCCAACTTAAAGGATATACTGTGAAATTCTTTAAATTCAACACATGCTTTTAAGGTTTTGAGAACCCTTGCTGGCAAACATTTATGGAATGTTGGACCTTATAATAACCTTGAAAATTGTTAGCCGGGAAAAAAAAAATGGAACCTCTTATTGGTTGTTTTTGAATATTGTTTGTTTGTTCATTACCCCTCATGTGCTGCCGATAGATGACACATATAAGGCCAGTAACTTTTTAATGTGGGCTGCGACTAAAGCCGTACTTATGGCATGTGGCCATATTATAATTTGTCTGTGGAAATGGGACCATCTATCTGAGCTAATAGGTTCATTATCTGGTATGTTGATAAATTTGGTAAATTGCTTCCAGTCTGTAAATTCTCTTCCGAACCGCTGATCAACCCCAAAGAAGCCATAAGCAGCTCAGTGGCTTGGAATAAAGGCAGATTGTGACCATTTTGTATACCAATGTGTTTGACCTAACTGGCCATTGGTCTTGTAGCCAGGTGGTAGGATTGGCATATGAGAGGCAAATCTTTTTTTAGATTAAATTAGAGGCAAGACTAGAAGGGTTTATGACAGTTGGAAAAATTGATTTTCAAATAAATATAATTAAATAATCCATTATTATTATTATTATTTAATACTTGCATTGTATGTAGTTAAAATACATTATTAAAAAGATTTAATATAAAAAGTCATATGGGACATTTTAATGTTTAACATTTTTCATTTTTTGTGAAACTTTAGGTGAGAAGCCTTACAAGTGTCCCCATTGTGACTACGCTGGCACCCAATCAGCATCTCTGAAGTACCACCTGGAGCGCCACCATCGAGAAAGGCAGAATGGCTCCGGCCCTATTACTAGTCATGGGCATACTCCGGGACAGGAGCACAAGGATGAAACGGCCAGCAAGAGTTCTCTCTTTATGAGGCCTGATATTTTGCGAGGAGCGTTTAAAAGCATCCCTGGAATAGATTTCCGAAGTGGTGTAATGTCCCAGCAGTGGCAGTCGGGGCTGATGTCTTCTGGGGATCGTCAGGGACAGTCAAGTGGCATTGGTTCTGAGGTTTCTTCAGAAGCTTTGAAAAAATCAGAGATCTCTAAAGCAGCAAATATTGCAGACTTTGGAAGAGCATATCAGAACATTGTAGGAAATGGTGTTAACTTCCAGGGCTCTTTGCAGGCCTTCATGGACAACTTTGTTTTAAGTTCTCTAAAGAAAGAAAAGGAGATGAAAGAGAAGGCCTTGCTAGAGTCGCTTCCTATAAAGGTTTCCAGGTCTGACAACTGTGAAGACAAAGCGGAGAACAAAACTCCACAGAGGAAAATGGAAAAGTCTCAGTATGAACCTCTAGACCTGTCTGTGAGGCCAGACGTTCCATCTCTTCCAGGTTCATCCGTAACAGTCCAAGATAACATTGCTTGGCATGGGTGCTTGTTTTGCTCATTTACAACATCATCAATGGAATTGATGGCCTTACATCTCCAAGCTAACCATTTAGGAAAAGCAAAGCGTAAAGACAGCTTAATGGGTGGACAGGGGCACACAAAAGATTCACTTAGGGAATCCTTGGGTCCCGCAAATAAAATTGCTGCCTCGTCTTCTTCAGTTCAGTGCGGCAAAGAAATGATGTCAAAATTGAGCCCATTGCAGAATTCTGAAAAAAATCCAAACTCTAAAGAGACTTTATCTGATCATAAAAGCACTTCCTGGTCCAGTCATATGGATCCAGTGTTTAACAATTTCCCCAGTGAATTCTACAAGCAGTTTGGTGTATATCCTCACCCGCTTGGGTCAAATGCTCAAAACTCTTGTTCTAACATGGACATTGATTCTCAGTCTCCCCCAGAGGATGATGCACATGCCTTGCAGTGCGATTCAGTGAATACAGTTGGTACTGATGACCTCTCTGATGAATCCTCATCCGAGGACATGGAAATGTGTAAAGAAGATGAGAATGAAGATGAAGAAATTGACACTGAACCCGAAAACATGAACCCAGCTGATGAACAGAACAAAGAAGACCATGAAGAAAAAGATCCTCTACTGAACTCAGCTGCTCTAAGACCTTCTGAAAACATGGTTTCCTCAACACCGCAGATGATGGAAAAGCAGTGGCATCCAAATCTTCCATTGCCCCACGAAACGCCACAAAGCTCTTTGCAACCTGACCAAGCATCGGGTCCAGATCCTTTGGAGAAGCAGGTTAATATGCTCTCTGTACTTCGAGCTTACAGCTCTGACAGCATGGCTGCTTTTAACGGACTTGCAAGCAACACAACAAACAGTGGATGTATGAAGAGACCAGATTTATGTGGTAAGTTAATATGACAAATATAGTAGATGATGGGGAAAAAAATGAACTAGTCTCCCAAGGAGCCTATTGATGCCTTTGTTCATTTTATAAAGCCAGGTTTTAGCTAATGTGGACTGTAGACAATGCAGTTATTACCTGCAGTGCAAAGTGGAACCATCACTCCCCAAATGGCAACTTCTAAAGGAGGATTTCAGATGGAATGTCAATCATGCAAACTGAGAGTAGAGCTCAGGTTTGCTGTAGGTGATGGGAGATGGACATAGTAGGTCTTAGCACAGTTCTAATAACAGACACAAGATTTGATTGTGTATGACAAGGTTGTTTCCATTTCAATCAATTCCATAAGGAATCAAATTTAGTGTATTGAAGGAACATTGGGTTCTAGATCTTAAAGGAAATCTCCAAACTCCAGGCAAAAATTATCTTAACCCTTGCACTGGGGCCACCTGTACACTGCAAGGGTTAAGTGCTCATTTTAGACTAGGAGCAAATATAACAAAGTTAAACTCACCCGAACCTCTTGAACCTCTCAGCCAGCTGGTTCCTAGATCGGTCCCGGCAGCCTGTCTCCTTCGCTCCAACAGTGGAATGTCTCTCGGTATCCTATACCGTGTATAGGACGTGATGACCGCTGGAGCAGAGGTGGACTGGTCTAACAGCCAGTAGGCTGCCAGGTTCAGGTGACTTTAACTTTCCTATTTTCACTCTTAGAGGAAAATGAGCACTTAACCCTTGCAGTGTGGGGGTAGCTCCACTGAAAGGGTTAAGATTATGTTTGCTAGGAGTTTTTCTTTAAAACTTCTGGCCTGCCATAACCTGCTCTTATAGGGGCTCGACGACTGAGCTACCGCATCAGGGTGAGCTGAGCTCCTGAAAGAAAGTCAAAGTGCTGCTGCTGCAAACGTTGAAAATGACTTCCTCCAAAGTGTCTGCAGCTACAGACATCAGTGAGGGATCATTTCAAAGCTCATTTACTGCTAAAGAACATGCACATTCTTGAATGTTCATATCCTGGCCACATATTTATTTTATTTGAGCTTTAACCATGCCCTTTTGATGGCTGTGGTACACAATAACAAAGCCAAAAGATTCCTAATGGCCCAGAGAGAGAGGCTGATAAGATCTAACTAGATTATCTTTTGCAGCTAATCCCCTTCAAACTCCTTCTACTGACACCACCAAAATCACTTACTGATGCGAGCAGCTGTTGTGTTGATACATTGACTCTAAATACATTGACTGTACCAGACACATCTGTCAAATGGTGCATCAATAAACCGGCAATCTGGTGATGTGGATATCTTGACAAATGGACCCTGCAATGTTTTATTATATTGCAGATTAGTCTATACTGTACAGACCTTATGGCCTTCATTTATCAATAGAAGCTTTTTTTTTTTCTTGCTCCTTTTTTTTTTTTTTTATTACATTGGCCTTAACAGT